TCTGAACATGTCCAAACCGCTGTCCCTCCTCTGAACATGTCCAAACCACTGTCCCTCCTCTGGACATGTCCAAACCACTGTCCCTCTTGCTGATGGACTCAGAAAGTCTGTGCTTCCAGGTAATGCAAATGTTAGTAGCAGGATTTTTTTTTTTTTAGGTTTTTATTAGAGAAATTTAAAAACATTTAAGAAAAAAATATAAAAAAGTGCAACTTGTTCATGGTTTAAAATACTGAAGTTGTGTTTTGTAAAATGAATCCACCATGAATAAAAATGGTTTCGACAAAACATCAAAACCCTGAAATTAATCATGACCATTAACGTCTGACAGGTGTGATGTTTAGAGCAGTTTAAATATTTATACTTGACAAACTTTCACTGACAAACATTTTAAAACCATTTGAACATTTCGGTATAAACGTTCAAACATTTGTGTTTGTTGTTAACAATCGTTTAGAAAAATCAGATCTGGCTTGTGGCTCATCAAAGTGCAGTCCAAGAAGCAGATGATCTACAGCATTCATAAATCATCAGCGCAGAGGAAGTGAGTCAAGCTGCAGTCCTGGTACTTCCCTCCAACTCCCCGAGTGATAAAAACTGATTTCTGCCTCATCCATGGAGGAGCTCACTCAGTTTGTCTGTCTGCAGAAGCTTGAAACTCCACCAGGAGGTGATGGAGATCTTCAAGATCTCGTCCATGAAGCTTTGATTCATCTCCTTTTTCAGAAGAAAACTCTTTTAAAAAAATTATTTATTTAAGACAGGGGGCGGCACGGTTGGTAGAGCTGCTGCCTCTCAGCGAGCAGGTCCCTGGTTCAAATCCTGGTCCGGGGCCTTTCTGGGTGGAGTTTGCATGTTCTCTCTGTGCTGCGTGGGTTTTCTCCGGTTTCCTCCCACAGACCAAAAACATGCACGTTAGACTGACTGGTAACTCTAAACTGTCCCTAGGTGAGAGAGAATGGTTGTTTGTCTCGTTTGTCTCTGTGAAGGACTGGAGACCTGTCCAGGGTGTCCCCCACCTCTCACAGTTATAGCTGGACATGGGCACCAGTGACCCCCGCGACCCAAAAAGGAAGAAGTGGGTAAAGATAATGGATGGATGGATGGATGGATGGATGGATGAATGGATGAATGGAATTTAAGACAGGCCAGACAAAGAGTGATTCCAAAGACTTTTGATGGACAACAAAAATTAAGGAGCTCAGTGTCCCTTGCCCGGACATGGATTACCGGGGCCCCACCGTGGAACCAGGCCTGGAGAAGGGGCTCGTTAGCGAGCACCTGGTGACCGGGTCTCTACCATGGGGCCCGGTCGAGTTCAGCCTGAAGGAGCAACATGGGTTTGCCTTCCTGTGGACCCACCACCTGCAGGATGGGCCATACGACTCAGGTGCATGAAGACATGGGCAGTGGCTGAAGACGGGGACCTTGGCACTCTGACCCTGGTTTACCAAATCTGGATCTTGGGACATGGAGCATGACCTCTCTGGTAGGGAAGGAGCCTGAGCTTGTGTGTGAGGTTGAGAGGTACCAACTAGATATAGTTGTGCTCACCTGGATGCACAGCATGGACTCTGGAACCGATCTCCTTGAGAGAGGCTGGACCTTATTCCACTCTGGAGTTGCCCATGGTTCTGGTCTTGTTTCTGGGTTTAGTTCTTGACACATAATGGTACAATGTAAAATGTTTCACTTGTATTTAGTTCTATATTTCATAGGGACCTCACGTCTTAAAGAAAACGTAAAACCTTTGTATTAAAGATGTGTGTACTTTTATTTGACTGTCTGTGAATGAAACAGCAGGAAACAACGACATGAAGGATTCACACATTTATTTTTTAAGAAGCAAAATCCACCTACAGTAAATTATTATGATGTCTTAAATATTTCATTACTTGTGTTAGATTAATCTAAAATAAAGCTGTGTGAGATCTGAACATTCACGAGAAAGTGATCAGGTATTCTGGATATGCCTGAATGTCATTGAAGATAACAAACATGGTTGGAGTATTCAAATTATCCGTGACGCTGTCGTACAGGTCGGCAGCATTCCCAGATTTTGCAGGAGGGGAGATCATGCCCTTCATTCCCTGGGTGTAGTCTCCAACAAGAACCTGGGCCTGGTACATGTTCCTGTGTCCTTGGGTGTCGACTTGGGCATAGTTTTGTGAATAAGCAGGGTTTACAGCAAAGTAGGAGCCCTTACCGTACATCGCACCTGCAAGACAAATGCAAGAAACACAGATGGATAGGTGAGGTTGTAAGAAGTGACTTCTGCTGTGAGGTGGCTGCAGGATCACAGGTGGAAACAGGCAACGGGTTAAAGATCCCCACAAGTGATCGAGTCAAAGATTAAACATATTTTGGACTACATGTGGTGGTTTCACAGTGACCAGCTAAAGTGTTGATAGAAATGAACATGGCAAGAGGTGGAACAGTCACTAAATTTAGATCATGGTTTCATTTTCATGTGATGTGAAAAGAGATGTTACCAAAAACAGATGAACGTCCCCCCCACAAAACATTTCGTTGTTGGGTCCAAGTCAACTTGCTGATGCCTCTGACCCTACAAGGAAGCTCGTGATGTAACTGCAGCTGTTGATTCAGAGTAAAAGGATCGTCCAGGGTTGTTGCTTAATGTTGTGTAGGTTCAACAGATGGTTTGAGTGACTGTCAGACCTCAGAGTTTAGAACTGCAGATACTAAACAGACATGCATGCGTATTGACTAATGACAGTAACACTAAGGTAACCCTGTGCCTCCTCCTGATTTATGAACACTGACGTCATGGGATGCTACTGGATCAGTTATCGATTAGGGGCAAAGGTGAATGGAGGAAGTCTTGTGAAGCTTGTTCTAGAGCAGGGGTGGGCAATTATTTTTTCCATGGGGCCACATGAGAAACAGCAAATATTGTGGAGGGCTGGCACAAATGACTTTTTCATTCAACCTTTATTTAGACAGGTAAATCCCATTGAGCCTCTAGGACTCATTTACAAGAGACACCTGATTTCAACTTAACTCAATACTGCATAATATTAATAGTATTTCATTATTAAAAGCAGTACATAGCACTGTTTTAACAAGCTGGTAAGAGTATTTGTTATGATTAAGCAACGAAAAAGTGAGGTTTCCTTAAAAAAAAGTCATTTATTCAATTAAATTTCCCAGTACAATGGTAAACTGTTAACATTTTTACCATTTGTGACGTTATATTAGTGATCATTTTCAGTCACATTCACCCCAAAACTCATTTTGAGTTTTATATACTGCTGGAAAAAGTTCTTAGCTTTCTAGATATATCACAATATTGTCTTTGTACTCCAAATATTATGAAACATCATATAATAGTGATCGTCACTGAACTGTGATTTTGAGTCCCGGTTCTTTACGTGCCTACATTTGTAGTCTAAACATCTCATTTGGTGTTTTTCAGTTCTTTTTTCTTGTTTAGTGAGAGAAGTCTAGTCTCTGTTGGGCTTTAACGGAAATGTTAAAGTCAGGTTGAAGGTCTGAGGTGGAGATGTGAAGCAAAGCTGACATCATCAGTGAGAGAGGATCTATATCTGGATTTGGTTAACTTCATTTGTTTACATATGTATTTTGTAATTCCTCTTACGGGGGCCGGTCAGAGTCAACCAAAGGGCCGCATGTGGCCCTGGGGCCGTACAATGCCCAGGTCTGTTCTAGATGATACTTAAAATAAATCCAAGCTTCAACTCCTCAGGTGGACCCTCCAGGTGACATCTAGTGGTCAACTGCGACGATGGCAGTCACAGATGTCCAAATGGACCTTTTTACTGGTTCTAATGCTCAGTGTCAGTATTTTGTGATGCTTTGTGGTCTTGATATTTCCACGCCCACTGTTGGTTCTTTGACATCTTAAATGACTTTTAATTGTGGTTTGTGTATATTTGTTACTATCACTGACTATGACCTCCATGTACCACAAACAATTATTAGAAATTATTCTTCAGTTTGATGTTTTATGTTTTGGAAGCAGCTCTAAATGTATTTGGGCAGGTTGTGGCTGACCATGCGTTCACATTAGTGTCCGTAAAGAGGTCCATCATGATCCACACGTCTTGTTGATTTCACTTCCAACACAAAACAATAAACTCAGGCCCTCTTTACACGAGGACCTCTGGAAACAACAAGTGTTTTTTCAATGTCTGTTTGGGATAATAAACCAAAAAAAGAGCGAGTTTACATAAAAACGCTGTAGTTTTTATGCCAGTAGGGTTGCCAGATAAGAAATTATGAACTACTGTACTGTCACATTAAAATGATAGTATTTTTAGTATTTCCGATGAGATGTCATGTTTGGTGAACGTGCACAGAAAAAGAGGGGGTAAAATAAACATTCTACATGTATCTAGAAACTCTGATGCGATGCTCTTCTGCATGATCACAGTTAGTCCAAACTGGTGAATCCGCCAACGTCTCTTTGGAGCCTGGAGTTTATTAGTTCATTTAAACAAGGTGTTTTTTGAGTGGCACCGCAGCAGAAAAGTTGCCGTTTCAATGAAAAAAATAAAATAAAATAAAAAACGCCTTGTGTAACCAGCGCCTCAGTGGTAAGATGTTGGGTCTTCATGTTGAGAATCACTGTCCACACATGAAAGAGTTAACGATGTTTTGAAAATTAAATGTTCAGATAAAATGCACCAAAGATTTGAGTCATGCCTCACTTCCACAGTTTCAGTGACGTATGAAATCATGACACGATCACAGAGATGTGATACAAGCCTGGACAGTTTCCAACAGGCCTGCTTCAATCCACCTTCTTCTGGGGGCTCTGCTGTCTAAATGATTCTGGGTACCACTTCCTGTCAGACAGGAAGTAGCAGTCAGCACTGGTTAACCATGGTAGAAGAGCACAAACTGCGGTTTATTTGAAAGTAATTTATATTCAGTTCAGCAGATAAAACTCTGTTTTTGTTTTGTTTACATTTATTTAACAACCGTAAAGTTTACTAAAACAGCCGTGCTGCGTTCAGGTACCTGTTGTGTTCACGGCTGCAGAACAACCAGGACAAACTAAATCAGTGGCTACAACAACAGAGTTTTAAACATGGACCCAGAACAAAAAGAGTTCCAGTGAAAAGAGGTTTAGTTTCTATCTCCTACCTACAGATGAAGAATTAAGAAGAATGTGGCTGAAACATGTGAACTTGAAGAGACCACCCAAAACTCTGCATGTGAGCTCATTTCACTTTGTTGACTAACGGCCGACGGAGGAAAACCTGCATCCTACTTTGTGTCTGGACGACAATAAACCACCGAAGAAGAGACGCCGGATCTTCAGAAGAATTGAAAACAGTGACGAGAACATCAGGGATGAGTTCAGGTGTATGGAGGGAACAGCTTTATAGTATTTGCTCATCTTTGCTATTACCAAGCTCGGTGATGGAGGACTTTAAGTCTTTGGCTCTGTGTCTGCTTTAAGGTCAATAAGATCGTGTCCCACCTCTTTTAACAAAACACCACCGACCTTATTACTGTGGAGTTTTCTCCACAGACGTACACTGTGGAGAAAACTCCATCCAGACACTTGAAAACAGCCTTTGTTCTTCCTTTGCTGAAGGGAGGAGACCCCACATCACTGAACAACTATCGACCAATCTCTAAACTCTGCATTTTAGCCAAGGTTCTAGAAAAACTGATAAACTCTCAAATCAAAAATGACCTGGACTCATTTAACATCTTACCTCCACATCAATCTGGTTTCAGGAAACAACACAGCACAACCACTGCTTCACTGAAGGTTCTTAATGACGTTGTTGAAGCACTGGATGCTAAAGATTATTGTGCTGCACTTTTCTTAGACCTGTCTAAAGATTCTGACTCTGTGGATCAGAACATCTTGTGTCATAAACTCTCAGAAATCTGTTTCTCAGAACACACCATTGGTTGGTTCTCTAACTATCTCTCAGACCGGAGGCAATGTGTTCAACATAATGGTACTTCCTCCAGTTATTTAACAGTCAACAATGGTGTACCACAAGGCTCAGTCTTAGGACCCACCCTCTTTACAATCTACATACATAATGTAGGTAAAAACATCCCTGATGCATCCATACATTTCTATGCTGATGACACAGTTGTTTATTGTCGAGCTAAAACAGTTGATAAGGCTTTCCATCTTTTGAAATCTGCATTTGACATCATCCAGACTGATTTGTTCCACCTCAAACTTGTCCTAAATGCCGACAAAACCAAAGGGATGCTTTTTTCAAATAGGAAGTTGGTCCCAGCAGTTCTTCCTCTGATTTTATCCTCAAATAGTGTCCCCATTGAGTTTGTTGATTCCTATAAATATTTGGGTATCTTAGTCGACTCACATCTCTCTTTTAAGCTCCATGTGGAAAACTTGATAAAGAAACCGAGTTTCTTTTTCAGAAACAGATCCTGTCTAACCCTGAATGTTAGGAAACACCTTGTAGCTGTGACTTTCCTTCCCTCCATTGATTACGGTGACATTATTTACATGAACGCTCCTACAAGAACCCTGCAGATGTTGGATGTTGCAGATGTTGGATGCCGTCTATCATGGTGCACTAAGATTCATAACTGAATGCTAGTAGATGTAGCTAAAGATGCTAGTAGATGTAGCTAAAGATGCTAGTAGATGTAGCTAAATATGCTAGTAGATATAGCTAAAGATGCTAGTAGATGTAGCTAAAGATGCTAGTAGATATAGCTAAAGATGCTAGTAGATGTAGCTAAAGATGCTACTAGATGTAATCTGCAGCCACTTCTTCAGCTCGTCCTCAGCAGGCAGCTGTATGATTATATTGTCCTGTTTGAGCTCTGACAGGTGGTGTTGCTACATGCTTAAATTAAATCCACGACGCTCAGAGAAACTACATTAGCTCGTACTGTTCCACAGAAAATAACGGCGGTTCTGGTCCGCGCCGGAAGTCACGCCCATAATTCACACAAGACACCACGCGTGCTACGAACAAGGTTGATGGAATAAAACGAGCTTCAGAGCGACAACATTGACAGCTACAGTTGGTTCTGTGAGTAGGGATCTCAAACGATGCAAACAGCTGTGTCCACAGAAAGAAGTTTATAAAAACAGGCGACTAGCTCAGAGTCTTGGGACATTATTGTAAAAAAGGGAAACAATGTGGACCTGTTTGGTCTCAAGACCTTGAGGAAGACCTCCCAGCCTCCAGGGAGCTTCCACAGTTCTGTGGTCCCCTGTGGAGTATGCAGCGAGGTAGAAGCGTTCGAGTTACCGTGTTGACCCGCGTAGCTCCGGTTGAAGCCCTTTTGGTTGATCAGGTCGATGGAAGTGGCAGCAGTGCCGTGGAACAGCAGCTGTTCATTCTTCTTGTGTTTGTTCTTCACCTCCATTTGATTCTTCAGCAGCTGGTAGCTCTGCCAGAGCGTCGCATTTTGGACACGCTTGATCTGCAACACAGTTTAAACACGTCACTTATCCTGACACCAAGTTCGACTTTTACTAGTTGAAGAAAATTTGCTGAGCTCTTTTTTAATTCCCTGCAGCATGAAGAATAGTTTCATCTTAAATAAAGTGATTTTTTTTAACAAACCCGTGGATGTAAATGTTTATGACGTATTACACAGACGGGATGAAGAACGTGGAATGATGAAGAGTAATATTAATATTATTCTGCTGCAACACACAAAAATCAGGACTTTGTTTTCTCATAAATCAGATCTATTGATTCTGTTCTGTCACAAAAATCAATGAATTCACATAAAAGTAGCAGGTTGAGTTAAATTATTTAACAAAGCATTAGGAATATAATATTTAAAGTATTTACATCTCATGTCAGCTTCAGTGAGAGGTGGTGTGTTGTCTGTTTAGGTGGGTTTTATTGATTGAGAATAAAATAAAACAAGATTAAACTTTAACTTTGACTGTTCGGTATTTGTGAATTAAATCTTAATTTAGATAAATTAGTTCTGTTCAGATCAACTGGTTATCTGGATAAATATGCTGCTGACTGTGGGCACAGTGGCTCAGAGGATAGAACTGCCACCTCTCAGCGAGCAGGTTGCCGGTTCAAATCTCAGCTGGGGGCCTTTCTGTATTAGACTGATTGGTAACTCTAAACTGTCTCCAAGTGTCCTTGTGATGGACTGGAGACCTGTCCAGGTGTCCCCCACCTCTCACAGTGATTGCTGGACATGGACACCAGTGACCCCCGTGGCTCGAAATGGAAGAAGCAGGTAAAGATAAAGAAAGGATGGAAGGATGGAAGGATACTGTATATGGATGGATGGGTGGATGGATGGATAGATGGATGGATGAATATATGGATGAATGGGAAGATGGAAGGATATATAGATGAACGGATGGCTGGAAAGATGGAAGGATAGATGGATGGATGGATGGATGGAAGGATAGATGGATGGATGAATGGATGGATGGATGGGAAGATGGAAGGATGGATGGATAGAAGGAAGGAAGGATGGATGAATGGATGGAAAGATGGATGAATGGATGGAAGGATGGATGAATGATGGAAGGAAGGAAGGAAGGATAGATGGATACTGTTTACGGATGGATGGATGGATGGATGGATGGATGGATGAATGAATGGATGGAAGGATGGATGGATATATGGATACTGTATATGGATGGAAGGATGGATGGATGATGGATGGATGAAGGATGGATGGATGATGGATGGATGGATGGATGATGGATGGATGGAAGGATGGAAGGATGGATGATGGAAGGATGGATGGATGGATGGATGGATGATGGATGGATGGAAGGATGGAAGGATGGATGGAAGGATGGATGATGGATGGATGGATGATGGATGGAAGGATGGAAGGATGGAAGGATGGAAGGATTGATGGAAGGATGGATGGATGATGGATGGATGGATGGGAACATACTTCGATGATGTTCAGAGCCAGGCCGTGTTTCGTCAGCTCTCCCATCACGTTGTTGTATTCGGTGGATCCTGGAGTCAGAGGAAACATCTTCACGATGTCGCCCTTCATGTCCTCCCAGTGCGGAGGAGAAGAATGTTGGGCTACAAAAAGATGAGCAGTTATTAAAAGTGGATGAAAAATACAACATCTGTCCTAAATCTTTGAGCGTTAACATCTTGCTAGTTCTCATATTTTGAAAAGTGAGATCTCTGCAGCTCAAGTTTCCCTCAGTTAAAAACAGAGGCTTCAGTTTTATCTTCACACGTGGACTTGGATGAAATTAAAACTGTTTCGTGAGATGTGTCTGTGAAGCCGCTCACCTTTCAGGTCTTTCCTCAGTAACTCCACCCGGCCTCGCCCGCTCTTTGAAACAGCAGTTTTAAGCTCTGGGTTAGCGACGTACGTGTTGTTTTTGATTTTGATCTGCACAGTTTGCTTCTTCTCCAGAGCTTCTTCAAGCTGGAGGTTGACATCGATGTCAAAGGGAACCATCGACCCGTTCTGGAGCAGATACTTCCACTCCACCAGTCCGCTCACTAGAATAGCTTTGTTCTTCAGGTTCTCTGACCTCTCCACCTTCCGGATGATGTCCCTGAAGATCACCCAAAGTGAAAAATACAGAACATTTTTAAATAAACACACGCTTCTAATTTAATCTGAACATCAGAAATCTGGTGCCTGATGTTTCCGGACCTGACTGCGGACTCGGCAGAGAAGACTTCCCTGGTCAGACCCTCCAGGTGGATCCTGGGCTCCTGGTCTTCCTGTCCTCTGTCCAGGTGGATGCTCACGGTCAGCTCCCTCTGCAGGGACTGAAGTTTTTCTACGTCAGCTTGAGTCAGCTGATTAATGTACTGGTCAGTGATGGTTCTTGTGGCCTGCTCGGCCACGATCAGCTCATTGATCCTCTTCTTGGCCAGACCCACAGCCTATGGGGCAAGAAAGGATTAGGTTGATTATTATTTTAAATATTTAATATTTTAGACATCTGGAGTTATTTCTTCCTTTAATTTGAGTGTTTGTGAGAACAGGACCCATTATGAGGTCACTTATCTGTTCATGAAGAAGCGGAGTTAATGAATCGACCACATCTTTTCAACAAAACGACAGGGTCCTGAAGAACCCTCACATCGGCAGCAGTTTCGGCCATGACAAAAGTGCCAGGTCTGTGTGAAGGTTTGGTTTGTGCTACGAGCGCTCAAAATCAGCTGATTTACGAGCTAAACCGTAAGATGGAAGCGATTTGTGAGAAATGCAGGCCACCTGCGGCTTCTAGGACTTGCCAGCATGTTGGAGACGACCTTGATGGAGGCTCATAGCACGGATCAGTGGAATGCCCGTAAATCAGGCTATTTTGGATTGAAAGTTCCAGCAGGACTCAAGGCTGACAAGCAAAAAACAGTCTGCCTGAAAAAATCAACAACTGTGTCTTATCTGAATCTGACTCCCCCGTTTGGCCTCGAAAGCAGACCGACTATCGAATTTCTCCTGGGACAAAGTTAAACTAAGGAAAAGCTTAGTCTATCGCACCAGCACCCCCCCACCCAAAAACTTCTGTGCAGGCTAATCAGAACTGTCGGCTGACCAACATCTTATCAGGACTATGGCCTATCTGGAAGTACTTCATGGACAAATCTCACCGTCTTGCTGTCAGATATGTAACGTGTCTATAAATGTGCTGCTGGTAGTTTTTGATGTCTCAAATCGTGTCCTGACAGACAAGATGTGAACAGATCGTTTTTGTAATACCACTATCCATCCTCATGGCCTTTTACCTTTTTCTGTCTAAAAAGTATCCTGATAGAGAATAACAGCCTGCGCTCCTGTAGCAGCAGCAACGTGCACTCCGCCCATCTTTCGGACGACTGTACGAACATAATCTCACCGTATCTCGGTACAATGATAATAAAGCTTATTCTGATTCTGAGACGTTTGCTCTTCACTAACTTTACCTGATTAACTTTGTAAACATGAGCAAGACTGACATGTCAACATAACCAATAACTGGTTTCATCCAGTTCTTTTATCCGTTGCACAGATTATAGTGCAGATCTGCTGTTAGAAGGTTGTGCTTGTTAATCTGAGATCTCAAAATTGTCGTTTCAAGTTCGGATCATAAAACAGGCAGTTTGTTCCATCGAGACACGACCAGAAGCTGGAAGTTGACACCTCGAAGATGAGCGCCCCCTGCTGGTTGGTTTTAGTATTAATATTTAAGCCCCGCCCCTCCAAGTAATTCCATGGCCCTAGTTTCCCGACTAAAACAAAAAACACGGCCAAAGTGTTGTTTTTTATAGACTCATGTATCTAATGTTGCTGCTGGATGTTCAAACATGCATGTTTTACTCACCGTGTTTAGTTTACTGAGACTTAAAGAAAAACGTCATGCTTCCCTGTGACTGACGGCGTGTTAGTGAGATGGGCGTGGAAACTGTTTCAGGCGCATCACACGACTTGTACCAGAAAACGTCCTCAAATATAAAGAAGTTGGTACGAACCTTCTGGTTGTCGGCACACAGCTGGAACACCGCAGGCTCAAACTCCTCCTTCTCCAGAGACAGATCAATGTTTCGCTGCTCGGTTTCACGTACAAACATGGAGGCGAACGTGCCTGAAATAAAAAAAAACAATATTTCTCATGTTTAACAACTTTTTAAAATTATTGTCATAAAAGGTTGTGCATCTGATAAACAAGCCGAAAGTTAGGCCACGCCCACTCAGAATGGACGGATTCACACGGATAGATACGCGGTTCTGGACGGCATCCACATTTGGCTTGTTCTTTGTCTGATAGAGCTTGGAAGTGTTCCTGGATCCAGAACCAGAAGAAACCAGACCTGGTTTAAAGCAGTGGCCCCTGAGGGCCCGAACATCACCACCATATCTGATGATACTCAGTTATATCTTCCGATTGAGTCAGACAGGGTCACTTCACTGGATCCACTCTTGAACTGTCTAAATGACATTAAAATCTGGTTAAAACTAAATTTTCTGAATCTAAATGAAAATAAAACGGAAGTCATCAGCTTTGGTAAATGTAATACCCTTAATGTGCTTGGCCCCTTGGCTTCATACAGCCACTCCAATGTCAGGAATCTGGGAGTTATTTTTGACAGTGCTTTTAAATTTGACAAACAGATAAATACAGTTGTGAAATCCAGTTTCTTCCAGCTAAGACTCATTGCCAAGGTGAAGTCTTGTCTCCCTTTCAGAGACCTTGAAAAGGTGATTCACGCTTTTATCACATCTCGTTTGGACTATTGTAATTCATTGTATGTTGGTTTAGACAAATCATCTTTGCATCGTTTACAATGTGTCCAGAACGCAGCAGCCCGTCTTTTAACAGCAACTAAAAAACATGAACACATAACCCCTGTCCTGGCTTCTCTCCACTGGCTTCCTGTCCACTTCCGAATTGATTTTAAGATTTTATTGCTTGTTTTTAAAGTCTTAAAAGGTCTGGCCCCGTCATATTTATGTGATCTCATTAACATTTACACTCCAGTAAGAGCACTCCGGTCTACCAACCAGTTCCTCTTAGATGTCCCCAGATCCAAACTGAAATCCAGAGGTGATCGGGCTTTTGCGGTTGCTGCTCCAAAACTGTGGAACAGTTTACCTGAGAATTTAAAGACCGCTCAGACTGTTGAGACTTTTAAATCTTTGCTCAAGACTCATCTGTATTCCTTGGCATTTCATCCACGCAGAGTCTGAGAACAAGTTGAGCTGATTTTATTGTTGTTGTGTGTTGTTTTTACTGTTAACTTATGTTTTTGAGTGGCACTAGATGCATTTTTACTCTTTTTTTATTTTTTTTATTTTAATCTGTCTTAACTGTAAAGCACTTTGGTCAGCTTTTGTTGTTTTTTATGTGCTATATAAATAAATTGACATTGACATTGACATTGACCATATCGACTTTCAGCCTCGTCCTTTGAGCTCAGAGATTCCTACAGATTCCATCCTGGTGAACCTCGGCCCATCTTTACTTCTAAAAGTCTCTTTTCGTACCCAGCCCTCTCTGCCCTGCTGATAATTCACCTCGTTAGTTATAAAGTTCTCCTCCAGATGTTTTCTGGTCGTAGTTTACTGTGGCAGCCTCAAGTTGACTAGAACAGGGTGAACACGAGTTTATTCCGAACGGCCAAAACAAGATTTAAAGGAAACGGATAATCTGAATATTTTTCTTGTTACACTAAAGTTAGCTTACTTGATAAAAATATGTGTACCCAGATCTCTTAATTAATATACAACACACTTTCTATAAAAAGGGTCTTGTGACAATATAATATACTAAAAAAATGTTGTGTTTGCTTTTTGGAGTCCTTTAAAGTTCAGTCTAGTTCTGGAAGGACAACTTTAAATAAATTAAATGTTTTAGTCTATCTTAATTTAAAGATTCTTGATTTATTTCTTTAAAATGTTTAATGTTCCTTGAGTTTTTTTGATAAAAGGCAAGTTTTCATCAACTTTTTTAAAATGTGGGTTTCCTTTCACTTAAGACATTTGGGGCCAGATGGAGATCGTCTAATGGCCACTTTTGGCCCTCGGGCCATATGTTGCCCACATCTGTTTTAGAATGACTCAGAAGATGTCAGAGATGTTATCATCAAATTCAAAATTATCTTTAAATTTCCCCTAAAAATGGTACAATTTCTTCCTTCCAACATTTCATATGTCTGCTGTGTTCCGTTGTGAATTAAATACGGGTTTATAAGATTAGAAAATAATTTGGCTCAAGCTTTCAGATTGGGGTTGTGTCTGGTTCCTGTTCTGATCCACATGAAGCATCTAACTCCTGCAGAAACACTCTGATACCTATGATCTTTCCCATGATGCCTTTCTCCTCCACGTCCTCTCCCTGTCTCTTCTTCATGCTGATGTGGAACTCGTTCAGCATGGCCGTCTGAAAGATCAGGATCTTCACGCTGCGAACGGACTTTGGCCGTTTCTTCCTCACAAACTCCACCACCGCGTCCACCATGGCGTCGGCCACTGCCGATGGGTTCACGCCACCCTGACCTGAAAGACAGAACCGATGATGAGGAGTTGGACAGAAAGACATGTAAACGACGAAGGCTCTGTTCTGAGAGTCGCTTTGATCTGGTAATCAATGAAGACAGAAGAAGCAGAGAACCGGTCTGTCGTGACATAAAAGTCCAAACCATCCATAAAAACATGGCTCCTCTTCCTGGTGTGAGTGTTTTGGTGCATCGGGTTATTTCTCAGAAACACAACGGTACATTAAAGTAAGAAATCTTTGATGTGAGACTCTGCTGACTTTTTCAGAAAATTAATTGAGATGATAGTCTGCAGTAAGTCGGACCCTTCAGGGTGGGAGTTGGACTCCTCCAGCGCTGCCTGTTGTCATCGATTCTGTTCAGAACTTTTATGGACAGAACTTTTCGGTGCAGCCGGGGGGCGGAGGGAGTGGACTCAGGATTCATCTCTGCTCTTTGCAGACGATGTGGTCCTGTTGGAGTCATCGTGCCGTGATCTTCAGCTGTCACTGGAGCGGTCCACAGACGTGTGTGAAGCAGCTGGGAGGAGAACCAGCACCTCCAGATCTGAGTCCATGGTCCTCAGTCAGAGTTTGGATTGTTCTCTTCAGTTCGAGGGTGAGGTTCTGCCTCAAGTGGAGGAGTTCAAGTATCTCGGGGTTTAGTTCACGAGTGAGAGAAGAATGAAGCGTGAGACTGACAGATGGATTGATGCAGCGTCTGCAGCATTGTGGACCCTGTGCCGGTCCGTTGTGGTGAAGAGGGAGCTGAGCTGTAAGACAAAGCTCTCTGTTTACTGGTCACTCACCTCTGGTCATGAACTTCTCTGAAAGAATGAGATCATGGATACAGGAGGTTGAAATGAGTTTCCTCTGCAGGGTAGCTGGACTCTCCCTTTTATTAACTTTATTTAACCAGGCAAGTCCCACTGAGATCACAGATCTCTTTTGCAAGGGAGGTCTGATTCGACTAACATGCATGTTTTTGATCTGTGGGAGGAAACCGGAGTACCCGGAGAAAACCCACGCATGCACGAGAAGAACATGCAAACTCCACACAGAAAGACCCCAGGTCCAACTGGGGATTGGACCCAGAACCTTCTTGCTGTGAGGCAACAGTGCTAACCACTGAGCCGTCGTGCTGCCATAGAGACAGGGTGAGAAGTTCAGTTATCAGGAGAGACTCAGAGGAGAACCGCTGCTCCTCCACATCTAGAGGAGCCAGTTGAATTGGTTCAGGCATCTGGTAAGGATTCTTCCTGGGCACCTCCTTAGGGAGGTGCTACGGGCATGTCCGACTGGGAGGAGACCCCGGGGAAGACTCAGGACACGCTGGAGAGTCTACGTCTCAGTGTTGGCCCCGGAACACCTTGGAGTCCTCCCAGAAGAACTGGAAGAGGCTGTGGAGAGAGATGTGTGGACCTCTCTGCTCAAGATGCTGCCCCCGAGACCTGAGTCCAGAACAAGATGATGGATGGATGGATGGATGGATGGATGGATGGATGGATGGATGGATAATCGAGATGACTGAACAGATGAAACACCAGAAGTCACAACTGTAAGTAGATATTTTTTTAGAAGTTGTATTTTAACTTTTAAAAAGTTGTGAACAGTTTTTCAACCTTTTTTTTCATTCACTCTTTATTTATCCAGGTCGTGTCATTGAGCCACGAGAACTCATTTTCAAGAGGGACCTGTTTAGGAGCAGATGGTGGGGTTAAGGGCCTTTATGGGCCCAGAGTGGGGCGAATGAGGGTGGGGGCGGGTGTGGGAGCTTCACCTACCCCACCCACATTTTTGATGCTGTCGGTACCGGGGCCCGAACCGGCGATCTTCCGATCACAGGCCCACCCTCTCCAACCTCTGCGCCACCACTCCCCCTATATTTCTACAGGTTAGTCCCATTGAGCCTCGAGGACTCATTTACAAGAGAGACCTGATTTAACAAAGAGTGAAGACAACAATAGACAATCATAAAAGATGCGTACAAATTAAAATATTTAAACAAGTGAAAATAAAATGATAATTAAAAGGAAAAGTAGCGACAAACAGGTTGTAAGGTGGTGTAGAAACTTGAGTGGAAGTTTGTAGCTTTCAGAGTTAAAGGTTTATGTTTGAGTTTCAGACTTCCTGCACATTTCCTGTTTTAAAGCGTTGAAGGCGACCAAATATCACACAACAGTGTAAACGTTTAATGCAGTGGTAGAAAGGACTAAATAAGAATAAAAATCCACAAAGAGTCTGAACAGACCTGTTCCCAGCGCGGGGAAGGCCACCGACATGACCTTGTTCTCCTCGCAGAGCTTCAGGACTCCTTTAACGATGTCTTTGATCTTCACAGGATCGTTCTGACCGACGACGTGGACGATGAATCTGGCGGGAAGCTGCCCGGCCGAGGTCAGGATCATCCCACGAGGCAGGTAACCCGGAGAGTTCACTGCAGAGGAGACACGTTCACCACGCAGCCCGACGGCGCTCGCTCAGAAACTTCTGCCTCATCTCAACTTTCATGTTTTTATTCTGCAGCACATTTACAAACACTGCTGCTGATCTTTTCTACGGGGATTTATTTTCTGAATCAACAAGCTGTAATATCTGTCAAAAAGCTAAAATCACCCAATAATACATGGACATAAGTAATCAGATTAAACAGCCATTTGGATTAAAAATGTGTCATGTAAACGCCCTATTTGGATCTGATTCAGCTCAATCTGAATGAATTTGTAATCCGAATGAGAGGGGTGGTTTATGCTGATTTATAATCCGAACGGTGTGCATGTAAACACTTAATCTGATCATCTTATTCTGATTGTGGAAAACAGACCTGACTGCACATGTGCGACCCGTCACCCTCATGTACTCCCACCTGGCTGGATGATATGTCGAGGAATCAGAACTGGTCGGTGAGCGACAACATTTCTACTAGAAACTTTGAAAGAGCTCAGAATGATGTGTATGACCTGCAGCTCAGTCGAGGAGCGCAGCAACGTCTCCGCCGTCATTAAAACCTGTCGCGGGTCCATTTTGGTGCTCAGGTTTGTTTACGTTCATCCAGGAAGTAAACCAGAAGAAGAACTTCTTCTTCTGTGGTTCTTCAAGGACAGTTTACCACTCTGTCTGCGCACGTCAGTACTTCTGTTCAGAACAAAGCCCGCTGCAGGTAAACGCTCGTCATGAACAGATTGTGCCCGTGTAAACGATACTTTTGGATTATTTAATCTGAAAACATTTAAATCCAATCAAAGTATTTTGTGCAAGTAAACATAGTTATGTTAATCTTTCTGCAGTGAACGGATGTTTTTAGGACGGTCTGTCTGCTCCTGACGGGCTGGACTGAGATTTAAGCTGCACTTTAACAATCTGCAGACCGACCTCAGGAAACCTCGACTGACTTCAGTTTTTTGGTTTTCACATGAGACTTTAGACCACGGTGGTTCTGTTTTTGGTCTGCATACACACCGATCTGCGAACACTCGGTCAGAACCGATCGTCCAGCGCTGTCTAAGATCGCCTTGGACACGCCTGAGAAAGAGAAGAACAAACCAATTATTGTGAAAACTGAAAGAGAAGCGCCGACGTAAACAAGTAAAATGTGAGAAACACGTTCAGTCCAGAGTCTGCAACGTTTACGATCAAAAGAGACATTTTTACGACTTCATTCACTAAATTAAAAAGTGTTCAGAGCCGCAACAACCTGCTACAACTGGGATGATCAACTGGTGGCCCATGGGCCACTGTAGGTTTGTTGGAGGGGCTTTTGTGGCTGCTATGGGTGACATTATAAAGCTCAAAATATCTAAAGATTTTTAAAATTTATTGATATTTTTACAATTTAAGACAAATGAAAAGACCAGATTCTTGTAAAGAGTGTGTGTGTGTGTGTGTGTGTGTGTGTGTGTGTGTGTGTGTGGGGAGGGGGGTTGATATTTTTAATTAATAACTATGAATTATGCAGACCTTTGCAATTTTTTTTATTGTGGAAAAATGAATTAAGTATAGAAATAAAGCACAAAGTTAAAGTGAGTGTTTTACTCCTTGTACTTGTTCCAGTATTCACATATTTGCAAAATAAATGACAGAAAGACTGCTAAAGTTTGTCCTGTTTGTTGTTTGTATAAAACAATAAAATTCAGTTTTGTTAGTTTTGGTCAAAGCTTGAAAGAGTCGCTGCAGAGGAACCAAAGATCCGCAGGTTGCAGACTCCTGGTCCAGAGAAATGTCACCAAAACGTTCAGTGAACTTTGACCCCTTACAGTCCTCGTCCTCCAAGCTCTTCTGACCACAGAATCAGAATCAGAATAAACTTTATTGGCATTGCACCGAGATACAACAAGAACATGCACGTATAGTCGTCCGAAGATGGGCGGAGTGCACGAAGCTGCGGCTATAAATAATCAGAGCGCCCTCTTATTCTTATTCAGAATAATATTTTGCTTAGATAAGAAAAGGAAAGAAAACATGAGAGACGGTATAAAAAAAAAGATCTCTCAAACTGTGTCCTAGACAGGGCACGATTTGAGGCATCAAAAAAACTCCCACAGCAAAGCAACATGAACAGATGTTATACATGAACATATAGGCCGTGAAGATGTTGAATTTTAAGGGAAAGTTGTAACATAGTCCAGAGCCCCCCCCCCCCCCCCCCCCAGCCATTGTCCAGATAAGAGGTGACGTTCATCTTCAGCTCAGTTGAGGTTCTGTCACATGTCCATGTCCTTGGGGAAGGGACGGGTGAGGAGACAGTCAAAGCATCTTTGTTGTTTTCCAAACATTCCAGGAGGAGTTGAGATAAGTCCAGCATCAAGGCCACAGTTTGGGTCAGACAGAACTCATGAATTGTTGTTTCTGCCTTTTAAAGTCTCGCTGGTACATATTCTCTGATGGATCTCCAAAACAGACGAATTGATCCTTTACTCCAAAAGTCGAGCTCACAGCTTCTCCAGATTATTCCACCATTCATGAGTGCTGCCAGGGAGAACACAGTCCTGATAACAGCTGCTCCAGTTCCCTGTCACAGCTCCACGTTCAGTCCGAGCACTGTCGAGCTTCAACACCTCCACACGAAGTTGTAGACAACCAGATTCCACCAACCAAACAGTAGATTCTAGTCGTCATCATGAATCCAATTTGTTTCCGTCAAGGTCAGAGGGTCCTCCTTGCCCTGACTCCTGTCGGGAGAAGTTGATCGATTTTGTTGAGAGACCAGCTGATCCTTCCAATTAAGAAGTATGCAGGAAAAAAAAGAGGCTTTTTAAGGTTCACAGGACAAAAGAGCGCAGCAGGGAAGCGGGTGGTGGTGGTTAGGGGGGGGGGTGGGGGGACGACGTCTGGTTTCACCGTAGAATAGCAAGAAAAATAAACAAATAAAAAAAATTAAAAAAACAGCCTCCTGGTTGTGAGAACCAGAGGAGACGTTTCTGTCCAGCGTCCCAGATTTTAGACCAGACTTGTTCTAGACGTCAGGATGGAGACACCTCTGGAGTTTTATTGTTAAATCACAACTGAACATGTTCATCTTTCAAGATCTAACTGTTTAAGTGCTTTCACCCTGTTGTATTTCTGCTTTATAATTTATAATTATTTGATCAGTTTCTTATTGATCATCTTGTAACTTTGGGTTTAAAAGGTAAATGTTTAGTTACACAATCTGACAGGTGAATCCAGGCGTTGAGGATCTACCAGGACGACTCGGACCAATTTCAAGAACCCTTTCAGGCCTCTCCAAAGGAAACATTGGAGGAAACCCAAGTCCAAACTAGGGATTCAGGCAGAACCAGAACCAAAACCCACCAGTTTACCATCCACCTGCAGGAGAGCCACACCTGAACTCACGCAGGTTAGAAAGTCGGCGTTATTCCTGTTTCACATTCTGATTAAATATAATTTATTTGTGTCGTTATGTCTATTTTTATTTATTTTTAGTCCTTTGCTCATTTCTTCCAGAAGTTCTTCTCAACAAATTAATCTGTGGCTCAGTTCTGGTCCAAATGTCTCCACCTGCGTTAAGTCCATTCGTTTATTTTGCTGATCGGAGGAAAATAAGATTCAATAAAACTCCGGTTTTTATCTGAGGGGATGGAAACAGGAAGAGTCACCTGCGTAAAGGTCGAAGTTCTGATTGGACGAGTTGACGATGACATCACACGTCTCCTTGGTGATGTCTCCCGAGGACACCTCCAGGGCGAGCTGACCCATCTGCATCTGGTACACACCGAGGGACGGGGACAGGACCGCGCTGAAGGTTTCTGACGCTGAATCAAAAGAAACATTTCAGGACTTCAACGTCTGTTTTTATACGTCATAAAAGTTCTTTAAGTATTTAATGTCTCTGTAAATCCTGCATTAGCTCTCGCCACAGTTCTGGAGACATTTTATTTTTCTTACCGGAGGCGCTCTGTGACCGGCTGGGTGCAGGTCTGGTGAAGTCCACCTCCGGATGTTGGACGGTGTTTGGACCCGTCTCACCAGAGAACTCTCTGCTGAAACACTGAAAAACAAAATGTCCATTTTCTTTAGCTGCTTCTTCTGTTACGGGTCCCGGGCAGCTGGTGTCTATCTCCAGCAGTGGGGGACACCTGGACAGGTGTCCAGTCCATCACCGGGACACACGGAGACAAAAACAACTGTAAAGTATGAGAAATCTTGACTAAAACTATTTCAGATGCTCTTCCTCCTCAATAAAAGAAAAAACAGAAGTTAAAACAACTCAGCAGGCAGCACTGTGGATCAGTTGGGAGAGCTGCCGCTTCTCAGCGAGCAGGTTGCGGGATCAAACCCCGGCCGGGAGTCTTTCTGGGTGGAGTTTACATGTTCTCTCCGTGCTGCGTGGGTTTCTTCCCACAGACCAAAAACATGCGTTAGACTGATTAGTAACTCTAAATTGTCCCTACGTGTCCCTGTGATGGACTGGAGACCTGTCCAAGTGTCCCTGTGATGGACTGGAGACCTGTCCAATTGTCCCTGTGATGGACTGGAGACCTGTCCAAGTGTCCCTGTGATGGACTGGAGACCTGTCCAAGTGTCCCTGTGATGGACTGGAGACATGTCCAAGTGTTCCTGTGATGGACTGGAGACATGTCCAAGTGTTCCCTGCCTCTCACACAGTGGCTTCTGGAAATGAACGCCAGTGACCCGAAAAGGAAGAAGCAGATAAAGATAATAGATGGAAGCATGGATGGAAGGAAGGATGGAGGGATGGATGGATGGATGGATGGATGAAAGGATGGATGGATGAATGGATGGATGATTGGATGGATGGAAGACTAAAACTATTTCTATCTATTTATTTATTTTTATATGGAAGAATGGATGGATGGATGGATGAATGGTTGGATGGATGAATGATGGATGGATGGAAGGTTGAATGGATAGATGGATGATTGGATAGA